CAGTGAGTCTTCATTTCAGGTTGGGGACAGAGTCTGGGTTAAGTCCTCAGAACTGGGACAGGAGCACGGGATCTCCCGCAAGCTCATGCCACAGTACTTTGGACCATGGGAAGTCTTAGACATCGTTGGCACAGATCCGGATGGCCCATCTTATGTTATCCAGATCCCTGGTCATCTTCGAACTTACCCTGTCTTTCACGCCTCCAAACTTGCACCTTTTAAGGAAACAGATGAGTTTCCTTCTCGTCGCTCAATGCCGCCCCCAACCATGGATGGACAAGTGGACATTGACAACATCGTGGATCACAGGGAGCTGCCAGCTCAGAGACGTGCAGGAAGGGGACGTCCTCCGAAACCGAAGCTGCAGTACCGCGTTCGGTTCCGGCACCACACTGATCCGAAGGAGGACCGCTGGTTCACCAGGGAAGAGCTCATGCAGACCGCTCCTCAAGTTGTAACTCAATACAAAAGATCTCTGCAGAAGGGAAAGCACCCTATGATCGAAGATTGAGCTTCTCAGAGGACTGTTGAAGGTAAGGAGGAGGGAATGCGAGGCCAATGCCTCTATGAGCCCCATCAGGCCCCATTTTGCAGCCCGTCAGCCGCCCTAAAGGAAGGCAGGCTCGACGAGGCCCTCAGGGCCCCTTTTTCCTAGCCACCACGCAACTCCGGGAAATTCCGGCAGTTGCGCAGCGCCAGTTGGTTGAGTGAACCCAGGCCCTGGGCCGCCTGTGTGAATGTATGAGAAGCAGGCCCTGGGCTGGATATGGCTACCGGGCCAAACACAGGCCAAAGGCAGTTGGGCACATGCAACCACCACAGGCCCAAGGCCTGCTCTGGACGTACTGGGCCTCAGGTTACCGGGGCCTACTGGAAGCTTCCTGGGACTGGACGCAGGCAGGCCAATTTCATATAGGAAAGGGCCTGCCTCCTCATTCATCATTCGGGTGCTGGCTGGCGCCTACACTCTCACGGGCAAGTAAGGAAGGATCACGCAGCCATAGCCGAGCTGCGCTGCTGTGAGCTGGGTGAGGCGCAGGGTGGTCCTTGGGTGCTAGTGGCATCTGTGAGTTGGGGATCGAGGTTGTGAGTGTAGTGCGAGACATACCTGGTGCTGGAAGCGTGCGACATTGGTCACCATATGCTCGTACTTCGGGAATGCTGTTGATGTCATCATTCGGCTTCGTAGTATAGGCTAGATTGGATCTGCCACATGTCGTCTAGGCGCGGAGCGCCAAATAGGATATCAACTCTAGTTCTTCGTTGATGATGATGATGGGCCTATTTCAGCATTGTCAATTATGAGCTCTTGGTGTGTTCTTATTTGGTGAATCCCGTGATGCAATCCTGCTGTTGGTTCGAGGTCAAGACTATCTGGACTCATATGTATGATGCTCTTTGATTGCTGAAGTTCGCTATTGCTCATCTTCCTTGCATGTCAAATAGACCTATTCGAAGCGAGAGAAAGTGGTAGGATCTGCCTCCAGCCAGAAATCTGAGACTCCTTCCTCTCTAACCTAATACCCTTGTTGCTCAGCAGAGGACACTGTTGTCTATATCAGGACTACTCCATTAATCGTGAGGTATCTTGGTCCTCTCTTAGCATCTTACGAGTTGTGCTCGTCCTTCCACCGTACATAAGAATTCTTTGTCTCCTTCAATCAGCCAGGTCTTAGTAACTTCAACTGTACTTGTGCGTTGTTGCTCGTCCTCGTCTGGTAGGGAAAGTCGACTCTCACACCTAGTGGCTAGGGTTGTCATATAGTTCTACATTCCTAGAAAGAGTTTGCCCGGTTGTCGTGTTTGTCCCACCCGAGAGCCACCCTGACCCCTGCCCGAAATTTCTCTATCCTCTCTGAGAATCCCTTAAACCCTTAATCCCTAAACCCTCGATTACTATCCTGCTCTATGCCACCCTGACTTTCGTCTTATTCCCCCTCTTGGATGTCTGATCATGGAATGTCTTGTCCATCCGCAGTTATCGGTTGCTGGTGAATCCTTCCTGGGGTTGAGTTGTGCCACTCTTTCCAGTAAATGCGGTTTTCTCGTAACTCCACAATCTTGCCGTCTATCAACCAGTTCTTGCTGAAGGTCCATCTCTCCTTCTTTCGTTGTTCCTCGTCCTCCGTCCATGACTGTTTGGTCTTCCTCCATCTGTAGAGGACTTCGGCTTGTATCATCATTTTCGTCTCCACCCAAACTTTCTCGCGTGGGTTGGACAGTCCAATCGTTCTGCTGCGAAACAGAAATTTCAGGTGTTGCGCTATTGCGATTTTCCACAACAGATATAGCGGGAAAACAAAATCCAAGAAAAAAAAAAAAAATTGATTTTCGGCAGTGAGGTCAAAATCGTGATTTTGGGGGCTAACTAGTGTACTCTAATCAATCACTCCAGACTAATCAGCTACTTAGTCCCCGCACACGTGCCAGATCAGGTTGTCCTGATTCACGTGCAGTGTTCCGATACCAACTGTTACATGCCCAGTTGGGCCATGTAAACCGAGGATCCGCAATGTGATAAAAAGGACTCAATGGACAATGCAGTGCAAGTGAAATCTCAACAAGCAGTGTACATTTTGATACATACAAAAATGGTGCTTTAGAGCGTAGTGGAAGACTTAGATACAAGTCCTGACCTGACCGGGACTGACCTCTATCACATAGTGCAAGACAGCGCAGCAGAATGCTTGAATACCAATGACTAGCTCAATCAATGTTGCAAAGCGCAGCAGAATGCTTGAATACCAATGACTAGCTCAATCAATGTTGCAACTCAGACCAAACGTACATCATCCTCATCACAGAGTGTGAAGAGGGCTGGCGCTACACACCAGAAGAATGCGCCAGGTCCAAATCATGCACAGACGAAGAGGAAGGGAACAGACGAAGAAGAGGGGGAGAGATGGGAATGTCGTCAACACCAAGTCTTTGTTACAAGTCCCAAATAATGCCTCGTCAGAATGTCTGGAGCCCAATATCCAGTCTGGATCCAAATGTCACCAAGCCCGCTCTCTCATAGTCTGCTGATGCAGTGAAGTCAGGTACTGTTACATGCTGCACCTGCACACGAGGGCCATTTTCCAGGCCCTGCGTCCCTCAGGCTGAAAACCTGAAATTCAGGCTTAAAGCCTGAAAAACAGGGCCTACAGGCCCCATGACTGTTCAGCCCGAAAGCCTGAAAACAGGGGCCTACAGTCCCTGTGTCGTTTCAGACTAAAAATGACAATAGCCTTTTTAGCCTGAAACGAAGGGCCATTTTCGGTCGTCCGGCCTTGAAACTCAGGCACCGAACGAGGGTTTCGGGAACAGGCTATTCTTAGCCTGTTCCCACGCCAGCCTCAAGCAGTTGCTGCAGCGCCAGCCCCTGGCACACTTCGGCATTGGCAAGAGCAGCCTCCTCGGCCTGGCTCGCCCTTCAGGCAGTCAGGAGGCAGGCCGAGGTCGTACATAGGGACTTCCCATGCACTTCACGGGTAGGCAGGAGGCAGTAGTAGTCTTCAGGATTCGACAGCAGCACACTGGAGGGAGCGCTGCAAGGTAGTAGTAGCGTTAGGCTTTAGTCTTCAGCGCTGGGCGCAGTAGGTAGCTTTAGTCTCCAGCGCAGGGCGCCATAGCTAGGATAGCACTAGAGAGAGAGAGAGAGATTGGGCGGAGGCCAGAGGTACTAACCTGCAGCGCCGTTGCTCCAGCTTCGTCTTTGAGGTACCTGCAGCACAGCGCCAACATCACAGGTTAGTCCTGGCTCGTAATGGAGAGAGAGAGTTCTTCTTCTTCCTCTTCACAGTCCACCATCTCCCTCTCACCCTCTCATCATCTGACTTCACTGCATCTGCAGACTACGAGAGAAGAGAGAAAGAGCTTGGTGACATTGGATCCAGACTCGACTTTTGGACTTCAGACATTGTAACGAGGGATTATTTGGGACTTGTGACAAAGACTTGGTG